CGTTTCGCGAGGAATCATCTGTGCCGGCACGGAATCAGGACATACTTTTCGCGCGAACTTGAGAATCCAACGATCTGAGTACTCCTCGCTCTCGTTGTTCGAAGACCGGTTACGCATCCTTCGCGCCGCGTTCCAAAGCGTATTCATCGACGTTTCGCGCGATAATCCGTCCACGAATTGCCGCCAGTATCCGCGTTTCTTGGCTTTGATGAGGCTCTTGAGTTCGCGTTCAAGAGCCGAGTACGCTTCGAAATGTACGGGTGTTCCACGTTTCCGGAAAAGCTTAAACGCGTCGGACTTTTTACGATAAACCTCAGTGCATTGGTGGTCCCACCAAGGGGAAGGAAGTTTCCTACGCAAAGACGTTCCTGGAACCGGCCGAGTTTGAGCTCGAAGCGCGCTGTCCAAGATCAGATTGGAGAGGAAGTTATATTCCTCCAACGGTGGAAGCCCTTCTACCGACGACACGGCTTCCTCTATCGCGGTCTTGAACGTTGTCCAATCGATATTACGGGTGAGGTCGTACGCGACGTTAACGGATTCCGACGGATTGAACCCACTGGCAATCGAAATTTTGATCGGCAAGTGATCACTACCGTGGGGATCCTGGATCACATTCCACGTGCAATCCAACGATAATGAGTTAGAGCAAAGTGTGAGGTCTAATTTACTTCCATTCGAGGATGGTCCAGCCAAACGTGTTACTTCTCCATTGTTAAGAATTGTCATATTGAAGTTATCACAGAGGTCATATATAAAAGTAGAACGGTTGTCATCATACAGTTCCCCCCAGCCTGTACCGTGGGAATTAAAATCTCCCATAATCAACCGTGGAGCAGGAAGTACTGAACATATATCTGAAAGTTGTTTTCGATTAACAACGGCTCTAGGAGGAATATAAACAGAAGCAATACAAAGGCTCTTACCTTTAATAATAGCCTGACATGCGACAACTTCAATACCTGTAAATTGTGGAAGATTCACTCTATAGAAAGAATGGCACTTTTTGATCCCCAAAAGTACCCCTCCTCCACGCGAATCCTCACGATCCAGTCGAATAATGTTAAAATCATAAAAAGGAAGATCTATATCTGAAGAGAGCCAAGTTTCACAAAGAGCAAGTGCATCACAATCATTATTGTGAGCTAAAAACTTACAAGAGTCTAATTTAGGAATAAGACTTCGACAATTCCACTGTAGAATAGTGATCAAATCCCCGACCTCGTTTGGAAAATTATCCATCGAAGGAAATGATTGCTGCAATGAGGGGCCACTTCAATGTCAATTGCTTCAAGAGGGTCTTCACAGTAGGAAGCATTGCCAGAACAATGCTTTTGAGAGGATCAGAAATATTCAGGTACTTGAGAATATCGTCCACAATTTTATCAAACGAGAACAACCCAGATGAAGAAGGGGCTTCTGTTCTTAAAAATGGGACATCAGGGGTTTTGGATGTCCCCGGGAGAGGTGGAAAATCCTGGGTATAGTCAGTTCTTCTGAATCCAGGAGGAGTAGAAACTTCCTTTTTTCCACCACTCCTTGATTTGGGCAAGCTGATTTGGGGTTCTTCATTCTCAACTTTCCGCGAACGGATGCGTTTTCGTTTCCGTGCTGAAAAACAGAAAGAAGTTCCCTCCTCAGCCAAGTCAGAGTCAGTCTCGTCATCTGACAAAAGAGAAAAGGGATTTTTGTCGTTGGTCGATGGCGTGGCCGTCTTAAGCATTTCTGCAAAAGACTGCCGGGAACGTTCCTTAAGTGAGCGTTGTAATTTCTCCCCGCGTTGTTTGTACACCGGGCATGACGAGATACCATGAGGAGTTCCCTTACAGTACACGCATTTTGGTGCGGTAGCTGCACAGGTGTCATCCCCATGCTTCTCTCCGCATTTGGAACAGCGTGCCTTGCTGCCACAGTGGGAGGCCGTATGTCCCTACTGCTTACAGTTTTGGCAGTTCATGACCCGGGGAACGAACAAACGCACAGGTAGTCGAAGTTTTCCCAGCTCGATGTAGTGAGGAAGGGCTGAACCAGAAAAGGTCACACGGAACGAGTCTGTGGGGGTAAAACTCTTTTTACCCTCGCTGACAGATACTGAGCCCAGTTTTTGGACATCCAGTATCTTCACCGGAGGAAGCAAACGGTTCTTGAAACGGCCAACCGCCTGCTTCTCCAAGATCTCGGGGGTCAGACTCGCTTCGGTGACCACACCTTCGATCTCCACATCACGAGCTGGGATGTAAAGCTGGCGATTTGTTTTTTATGATAACTCATTACTTGAAAACAGGCAAAAACTCACAAACAGGCTGCTTTTTCATGGTATACAGTGTGATAATTCAATAATCAATAAATTATCTCAACATTTAGTGGAAAACCATTCATAAATTTTGATAACATACAAAAAAATCTATAATCCAAATTAAATTTCATATGTAAGCGCCGATTGAACCAATCTTTTCGACGTCACTACAAGGGTGATTGATTAAACGAAAGAAACGAATCGTGCGGAATGAAAGCCGAGGAAAAACTAGTTGCACCAATATATTCAGGCCTACAATTCCACACCTTCTATAGACAGGTTGAGCCTTGATAGCTAGCTGCTTGCGGGAACTGATGACCTTGACCAATGTCCAAATAAAACTCTTTAACAAATTTTTGGTGGCCCTGAAAAGGACCATTTTGTAGTGATGGTTGAGTAATTCTGAACTGGGTATTCAACACGGATGAGGCTGTCGAGCTGTATGTCGTTTGGAGCGAGGGTGACACGCTTGGCATAGATGACCGACCTGCAGCGACTCACGAAGAGCTACTGATTCCGATCCATAGCATAGCGGTGCAGCTTCTTCCTCCTTTGATGGTTGCTTATGTGGGCTCTGCAGCTCACTGCTTGCAGGCAGCCTTTCGTTGTTACTGGAGAACAATTTTCAACGCCACACGCCGAAAGCACTGCTACTGCTGTTACTGCTGCTACTAATTTCGACGACCGAACACCACCACACAGTGGTGTGGTCGTTGGGAGCGTGTGGTTCTGAGTATGGCGATGAGTGTGCAAAATATTACGCAATTCCATCCTACCTAGTCGCACGCGCCCGAATGTCACTTCGACTTTTTTCGTCTACTTACTACTCTCTGACGAATGTGCTGGGGAAGAAGCATATGCATGAAGGTAATTGGTGGATTTGTTAGTTAATTCGACGCTTTTGAACAATGCTGGACATTTACCAGTTTTTCAATAGTTTCATGTTGAATATCAACATTCGGAAGCATTGTTATCGATGAGTAGGCATATTTCTGATCAATTGGTGATAAAATTATTAAAATTTGACCAGGGGTAGCTGAGTTATTAACGTTCAAAATCTTTCTTAATTTGTTACATATTCCATTTTCACAAAGTGTACCCCCATATAGAAATCAAAGACGTAGTCCTACGTCAAAAAATATTTTTTTGTATGACAATTTCGTTTCGAACGAAATACAGAATAGGGGTGAATGTTTGTTTTGATTCGCTATGAAAGTTTGATAGATAAAATGTGTAACGTGCCAGTGCGGTGTTACTCCCAGCACTGATGAGACCCCCGTCTCCAAGCCTCAGGGTCGGCACACGCTCGTGATTATTCCGCAAACCAAGAAAACACTCAAAGTTTACTTAAGACAAACTTCCACTTTATTCGTTTTGACGACACTCACTTCACGGACGGTCTCCCACTTCCTTAGATGTCTACTCCTACCTTGTGTTAGCACTACTCTTCTTTTGTCTTCGGGGTCCCTTCACCTGCCACTGCCGTCGTCGTCGTTCCTCTCCTTTCTCTGGTACCGCATCACCTTCTTGGGCCAGGGGTAGACGCCTCTACCTGTCCCGTACGCCCCTCGAGTATGGTGACGGACTCGAGGTTTCAACGAACCACAAGGGTAAGTTGACTTACCTGGATTGGCGGTGCACACTGTAGCTGAGGGATCAGATTCTCGAACTGCGATTCGGACACACTACCGGCGATTGGCGTGGTCGACTCCGGAAAAATACGTGCAGTTCACTGGCGTTACGGTAAAACGGCGAGGTCCTGGCTGTCCAATGGTATGTGGCAACTTCCTCTACAACTTCTTCAAACTTCCAACTTAGCTCAGTTTAGCACTTTAGCTTTAATTTTCACCTTCAAACTATTAATTTTTAGCTTTGACTTTCGCTATGTGACCGTAGTCTATAATGATCACCAGGCTTATGACTGTGCCTCTTGGTGGACGATGACCCCGAACCGTGACCGTTGAACCGTCGTACGTGCCACGAATTCTCCACGAAATGGCCCCGATTACGTCACCTCTATGGACGTCCATTCATGACTGCACACAGCGTGCTCTGGTGGTGGCTAGTGGCATTGTTCTACAGTTTATAGGGAAGTGTCTCCTACTGGCTGCATTCGTGGGGATTCTGGGACGTTTTACCTTTTGCGAACATTTAAACTTTTTCTTGGAATTTAATAACTGAATATACGAAAACTACACGCGATTAATCTCACCAATCTTGGACGCAACGCTTACACTTGTTACAAATGAGGGGTTAGTGGATTTTCCTATGTTTCGAGGGGTGAATCGATTAACTTGGGACCGAAGATAGTACCAGAGCTGAGCCAAAAAGTTGAGCATGTTTCTTCGGGACCTACTAGTCTTAGCGCTACAGCGGCCCCTCCCACGAAGTAATGCCTTCGGGCGGTTCCGGGGAGATCAAGGGCCAAGCGCACAGGGTAAGGTTTACTGGGTTGGGAATGAAATTCTCCCATCCCCACACCCTGAGTTCCTTCTCAGGTGTCTGTGAGCAGATTCCCCCCTGTAGAAAAAAAAAGGCTATTTGGGTACAATATTTCGGATTAATCGCAATCTATGGAGGCACATGGCACAAGTTGCTGTTCACGAAGCGCGAAATATGCGTGCAATTTTAATCATTCTGTCAAGATGTGGATTATTTTAGATTACCACAATTCTTCATTTCAATTTGATGACTGTCGTACAGCTTACAGCTAAAGCACATTTAATGCGGAATATTTGTGGCACATATACTTTGCATAGAAATAAAACTACTGCAGTGGAGATACGCCTAGGCAGCTTTTGTCTCGGAAAATATTCGTCCTGCATCGTTAGCCATGTTTTGCTGCAACTTTTCTAAAATTAAAACAAAAATAAAACAATGAGCTTGAAGCACTCTCATCCTCTTATCCTAATTCACCGATCGTATTCCGGCTTTCCACAGCGCAATGCACAAAATCCACCAGTTCCATCCCATCGACTCCGTTTTCCCTGGATCGTTTCAGCAGCTCGTTCAGCACCCGGTTGTTGACGTTGAATCCGGAAGAGTTGAGTGCCTTCTTCAGTTCCTTCCGATCTAGATGACCACTTCGATCCAGATCGTACAACTGAAACACTGCCTGCCACTGTTGAACGTCCCGGATGATCGTCCGAAATTGTTCGTACTGCAGTTGACTAGATTTGTGCACATTAACACGGGAGATCAGTTGCTGGGAAATTTTCTGAACCAAGCTACGATCGACAGCTTTCGTAGTTTCTCTAGGAGGTCGTTTTTGTGAATGTTTGCAAGGAATCCAACCACAGAGAAAGATCTCCTGCAGTTGGAAGCATATTCTTATCCAAATGTTCAAACGTTTCTTTGACTTTGGAGGAGGAGCGAAAAAGAATCGGTTCAAGATGGCACTCAAAGCAATAAAGTCAATTGTCTTCTTCCGATCAGCCAATTCGTAGAACTGCCGCACCATATGTGGCCAATCGTCATTCTCCTGAAGAGGTCCGGAAACTCTATCATCCATCGTTCCAAAGCAGACGGTACAATCGTTTTCCTGCAAACAGTTGCGCAGCTCGGAGAAGATCCGTATCAAAAATTCACCTTCTTCGTTTTGGTGTAACGTCGACGGCACGACCAAGTAGATCCCTGGGTTGAGCCTCAATCTGCAACTAACCTCGCGGGAATTGATGAAAATCGAACGGGCGACAATTCGGTAGTCATTCTTTTTGAAGAACTTCATCGGAACAGGTTTGTTGCGTAGATGTTCCTCGGTGACTCGATAGACGACGAACCCAATGGTCAAACTGGGTAGATCTGCTGCTCTACGAAACTTTTGCATCAGAGCGATCACCACAGTGCACATACCGGACCGATCATCCTTATCAGGCTGATCCAGATGAACGACGTACTGAGGGTTCGTCCAGAAGGATTCCAAATAATCGATGCATCCACCAGAGGTAGATCCTTTGACCCATTCGCCATCGATCGTAGACACTTGCCAGCCTCGCTGGTTTGCTTCAAATTCATCCTGTGGGTCAGGTGACAAGTTGCAGATCTCCACTCGGTCAAAGTAGCGCAAAAAGTCCTTGAAGTCCATCCAAAACTCACCATCATTATCGATTGTCAGCCCGATCTGTTTTCGTTGAGTTTTTAGTATCGCTTGCCACTCCTTGGAGCGATCACTCCAAGCTCCGTTCCATTCAATGCCATCTCCCCATGGGTTACGGAGACGAATCAATTTCTTACCTTCAAGAATATGAGTCTTTGTAACCGAATACGAATGACCCTTAAGAAGACCCTGTGGCGTATGAGCTTCTGGAACTTTAGGGTCCGGCTGGAATTACAAACAATTCGATGATCAATTCGAAACTTCACAACCATTGAGAACTTACCAAAATGTTACAGGCAAACATTGAACCCCTCGAAAACCCCGTATCAATAATCTCGAACAAATTATCCGGTGGAGATGCTTGGCCTCGCAACCGATACGACTCGGTTATTCCACCGGTAAAGTCCTGCATTGCTTCCCGGGCCGTACCGCTGTTCAGTGCTTCATACGACCCATGCAACTTGGCATAGGCCTTCTCCAGCAATGCACTCCAAAACTCGTTCTTCTGACTAGACTTCATAAATATCAATTCTCGATCCCTTGTGGGCAACCGGTCATCGATCACCACGTCCACCCATTGACCGAACTGCCAGAATCGAAAGTGAAATATTCCGGCATACTGTTCATCTTCGAAGGAATTATCCAGGGGAACCGTTTTCCGAAACAATCGTTCGTTCGCGGTCAGATTGGCTGTGGCTGTCAGAAGCCAGCAGTCGTTGAGATTGCCCTGTCGAACGTCGAAACGGGAAGCTCCATCGACGAAGAACTTTGGCTTGCGAGAAATCTCCCGTGGGCGAAGCCACTCGATCGTGCGGTCCGGATTGGATTGCCGTTTGGTCAGAGAGCCGTGATCCGGTTTAAAGTCAGGGTCCTCGAAGAGTGATCCTTCTGCGAGGCACCGTTGCTTCAGGTGGTAAAAGTCCTGGGCCGGAGGGTTCTGGTGGACGTTGAACGTTTTGTGGGCGATCTGTGAATTGGAGTGGAGAAAAAAAATGCTATGAATACGTGATTTTGATCAACACATTTTTAACAAAGGTTAAATTCACTACACCTATGGCTAGGGGCTCAACCAGTTCTTCTTGGGCGATTTATATCAATATGGGTCATTCCAGCTTAAGTGTATTCAAAGTTATGGTCAATGTCACCGATGTCAATCAAACATTGCCAAAATGATTATTTTGATATTCTGGGATTGCAGCAACTAAACAAGTCCCATCCCAAGTAACATATTTGGTTTTATGAGGTTTCTGTAGACTGTAAACTGTGGTAAAACTTGTAATGTTGCTGTCATGGTAAACTTGGAGCTGGTTACTCGCTGTAATTGTAATTTTTGAATGTAAACCATGGCCTACTTAGTACTGGAACAAACTCTTTTGCTTATTACAGCGCTCCTAGTGGACGTTTTCGGAAGCTTTTGACGTCTATTTTTTGACAACAACAATAACAATAACAGTGTATTTTTTCAGTTCATAAAACTGGTTCATTTGGAGACAGTCACCATGCAAGATGAACGTAGAAAAAAAAATCGTTCACAGTCACCTGGAAAATCCATCGTAGTCCACGTCCAAGCTAGCTAAAGTGTTGAATTTTCATAGAAGTGCGTGGCAATCAAAATTTCGATGGTTTATGAGTGTCAGAACATTTGTTCCCCAAAATAAATGTCCCAACTCATTATTTTCAGGCTGGTGGGTTGAAAATCTTTAAATCGTTTTATCTCCGTAAATACGGCTCTAATCAAGATTTCGAGGGTTTTTAAGTGTCAGAAAAAAATTTCCCCTAAAAAATGTCCCAAACCATTATTTTCAGGATGATGGGTATGAAAATCTTTAAATCGATTTATCTCCGTAAATACGGCTCTAATCAAGATTTCGAGCGTTATTAAGTGTCAGAACATTTTTCCTCCAAAAATAAATGTCCCAACCCATTATTTTCAGGATGGTGGGTATGAAAATCTTTAAATCGATTTATCTCCGTAAATACGGCTCTAATCAAGATTTCGAGCGTTATTAAGTGTCAGAACATTTTTCCTCCAAAAATAAATGTCCCAAACCATTATTTTCAGGCTGGTGGGTATGAAAATCTTTAAATCGATTTATCTTCGTAAATACGGCTCTAATCAAGATTTCGAGCGTTATTAAGTGTCAGAACATTTTTCCTCCAAAAATAAATGTCCCAAACCATTATTTTCAGGCTGGTGGGTATGAAAATCTTTAAAACGATTTATCTCCGTTAAAACGGCTCTAATCAAAATTTCGAGGGTTTTTAAGTGTCAGAAAAAAATTTCCCCTAAAAAATGTCCCAACCCATTATTTTCAGGCTGGTGGGTATAAAAATCTATAAATCGATTTATCTCCGTAAATACGGCTCTAATCAAGATTTCGAGGGTTTTTAAGTGTCAGAAATTTTTTTCTCCAAAAGACAAATCTCCCAACCCATTATTTTCAGACTGGTGGGTATGAAAATCTTTAAATCGATTTATCTCCGTAAATAAGGCTCTAATCGAGATTTTGACGGTGTTTAAGTGCCAGAATTTTTTTTTCCAAACAAAAATGTCCCAACCCATTATTTTCAGGCAGGTGAGTTTGAAAATCTTTAAATCGATTTATCTCCGTAAATACGGCTCTTAATAAGATTTCGAGGGTTTTTAAGTGTCAGAAAAAAATTTCCCCTAAAAAATGTCCCAAACCATTATTTTCAGGATGATGGGTATGAAAATCTTTAAATCGATTTATCTCCGTAAATACGGCTCTAATCAAGATTAATCAAGATTTCGAGCGTTATTAAGTGTCAGAAAATTTTTCCTCCAAAATTAAATGTCCCAACCCATTGTTTTCAGGCTGATGGGTATGAAAATCTTTAAATCGATTTATTTCCGTAAATACGACTCTAAACAAGATTTCGAGGGTTTTTAAGGGTCACAAATTTTTTTCCCCAAAAATAACTGTCCCAACCTATTATTTTCAGGCTGGTGAGTATGAAAATCTTTAAATCAATTTATCTCCGTTAATACGGCTATAATCAAGATTTCGAGGGTTTTTAAGTGTCAAAAAAATAAAAAATATCCCCAAAAAATATGTCCCAACCCATTATTTTCGGTGGGTTGAAATTCTTTAAATCGATTTATCTCCGTAAATACGGCTCTAATCAAGATTTCGAGGGTTTTTAAGTGTCTGAAAAAATTTCCCCAAAAAATGTCATAATCCATTATTTTCAGGCTGGTGGGTATGAAAATCTTTAAATCGATTTATCTCCGTAAATACGGCTCTAATCAAGATTTCGAGAGTTTTTAAGTGTCAGAATTTTTTTTCTCCAAAAAACAAATCTCCCAACCCATTATTTTCAGACTGGTGGGTATGAAAATCTTTAAATCGATTTATCTCCGTAAATACGGCTCTAATCGAGGGTTTTTAGTAGTCAGAAAAAAATAAATGTTGCGGGCGTGATATGTTATTTTCGCTTTCGGCGGCAGCAGCGTGGGTCGGCCTGAGTTTCCAAACTTATACTTTCCAAACCAATCGCACTGGGATGAAAAAAATTATCCACATTTTAGTTCAGATTACTCAAAATCTCTAAAACGTAGGTCAGTCATAGTTTGAGTAAATTATCCGATACTTTCCCTGGAAAAACTTCTCGAATCTGTGGAAAATTTAAAATAATTGTACTTAGGTTAGAATTGTACTAGTAGACCGACTTAAACCACAATCAGTTTTCCTCATATTCGAGAAGTTTTCCTCGGAAAATCGTCTGAAAATTTACTCATTCTATGAATGACTTACGTTTTCGTTAATTTGAGAAACCTGAACACAAATATGAGTATTGCAGGAGGTGAAGTCGTATGGCAAAGTGTTGCACTACAATCATGTCGAAAATTTCATGTAATTTTTATGACCACATAAATAAACAAATGCAGTAAAAGCAGCGTAATGTCAGTTCATACATTGTATTAATGATAATTTTGTCCTTTTTAGCAAGTAATATCCCAACTAACAATTTTCACAATGTAAACGCTTTACTCATTTCATTTATACAGTCTCAAGCTGTATTCAAACGTTATACGATATGAGGAAACCTTTACTCAACCTCTTTATAAGCAAATCTGGCGAACTTAGTCAGCTACTTATGGCTGTTGGAACGGTCGGGAGAAGCTCTTATTGCATATCCATTAACGCTCCTATACAGCTGTTATGCTGCTGTTTAGTTGGGTGTGAACTTGAAAGGCGCTTATTCAACCTTTTCTCGGTTATCATATAATCACAACTCAAGCTTTCTCTTGAAGCCGGGTTAAATACTGTTTACGTTTTTTTATAAAGGAATTTATTGAGTTTATTTTGCTGTGAATCAAATTAATCGAAATGTGTTACAAATCATCACCAAATTGTTTACCCTGCACCGGAACCTGGAATCAAACTCGAGACGACCTCATTGGCAAACCTTGACACTACCAACTGTGCTACGCCAACACTTTGAACTTATGTAAACAAATCAACATTCCCTTCTACAACCAAATCGCTGAGTAGAGGCTTTATAATAGTACACATGAATCACTTTTCTCGACTAGTTATAAAAGAACAGAGAAAAAGCTGTAAAACTGCACGCGTTTAAAAATAAACCTAGTTGACTGTGAAAATGCTTCCGAAGTTGCTCTAACACAGTTTATAAGCTGAGTACAGGTTGTTTAGTTGTTGAAAAAGCGCTTTTGAGGTTTATGTTATTCAGCAAGAGTGGTTGGTTGTGTAGAAGCCATAAAATGATCAATATATTCACTTTGTTAGCTTTGTTTTGCAGCTACAAGTTGAAAGTTGGGTAGTGTGTGTATAGAAGTGACATTAACGTTTATTGGCTGATGTTATTCAGTGCGACTGACAAATTGAATAATGGTTGTGAGAAAGTTGAGTAAACGCTCTCCAAAACTATTTTGCTAGCTTTTACTTGTAGCTGTATTTGCAGCTTCTTTTCAGCTACTTTATGGCACAACGTCGGAAAAGTTGGCTTACAAAGCTGAAAATGTTAGTTGGGATTACACCATATTTTCGACATGATTGTAGTGCATCCACTTTGACGTGATATCAAAATTATTTTTTTTTGCTGTGTAGGAATTCTTTCATTTATTGAGCATTACACGTTATTAATATGTTGATAGCGATAAATGATATGCTTCCACACTTACAAATTTTAACAGAAATCTGTAAAATTTTACCAAAATCTCAACAATGGCTTCTGCAAATCATCGTTTCACCTAAAGTGCTTGCATCAGTCTAGAGAAATCCGCAATACCGTTGCTGAATGTTCCCAGCTTTTTGGATGTGCAAAGCCTGTACGAAAATGATGTCCAACGCTAATTTTCGTCAAACCATTTCGTCCACAAACAATGTTATGGAATTGACGGCTGAAGCACATACCAAAGCACTGAACGATTTGAGGAAGGAAATAGCGCTTAATTCAACCAGAATCAACTCTATCTTGCAGCGTACACCATTACGAACAACACCACATATTCCTCGATCACAGCCACGACCACGGCCTTTCACTGACAATCCGTCACAAAACGATAATGTTTCCATCGGTACCAAGGAAATCGCCCCTGACGAAACTATCCCGTTATCTGCAGCAAAAAGGGATGATAAGTTTTGGATGTATCTGTCCGGTTTCGATCCCCAGGCAACAGTACAGCAGATTGAAAAATTAGTGAGGAGTATTCTCAAAACAGAAACGGCTGTGGATGTTTTTAAATTAGTACCGAAAGGGAAAACTCTGGATGAACTTACTTTTGTTTCATTCAAAGTCAGCCTGGAACCGGAGCTAAAGGACGCTGCCCTATCTGGATCATCTTGGCAAAAGGGCATTATTTTCCGACAGTTCGACTTCAGTCACCCCACATCAACGAGAGAAACATTTCGCTTACAGCCCGCACCATGAGACAGCCACTCACAGTGATCATCAAACCACGTACCGTACCGAAAATTCAAC